ATTCAGCAGTCATATAATAACGGGAATTTAAAGCTATCGCTCCCATTATGACGGTCTCCTAAATAACATCTAACAAAACATCAGAATCTAAGAGTATGCACATTGAAAGCTCATTTAGTATCTGGTAGCGCTTATGTTTAACTTTTATTTAAATATTAAAGGACCTGAAGGTTTATCCTCTTCAAAAGAACCTGAGATAAGTTTAAAGATAAAACAAGACAAACGCACTTGTGTTCACTTAGTGTTCCCGCAAGAATCAGCCAGGTAATCCTGGAAGAATCCTGTTGTTGTAACATGACACACGTAAACAGGAGAGCTTCTGGAAAATTTATGACGAACAGCCAAAATATTCAGGCTAAACAAGATAAAATTGCATGTGTCGTTTTTTTTCCTTTTTTTGTTTACATACTACTTAAAACTACTAAAGTTGATGAAGATTTCCGCTCTACCAAAAGCAAGAAAGATGAATCTTTAGAATAAACAAAACAAGCGCAAGGGTGTCTATCTCGTGGATTTGGCCAGAGGCCGCCAGGTGGACCTAGAAGATCTTCAGTAATTATTTTATTCAAACATCGGTGTGTTCTATCAGCAATGCTTTCATTTATGTCGAAATTGCTTGGATTCACTCACACGGTTTCGGAAGGCTATTTGCTTGAACATTCGCAAACACATCACAAATCCAGCAACCGTTTCTGACATAATTTTATGACGACATTATATACATGTATCAGTGACCTTTTACTTGTGTAATATACATGCATGTACATATATTTTGCATTCTCCTGTTACATAAACTGTCGAATGTTACTTCCCTCATTACAAACATGTGAACATGTGTAAGGTGTTCTAGGATAAACAGAGTGACTGACATTCCAAAAGTGTGCCCAATACTTATGAAATTTTCGAAAGTTCATAAGGTGTTTTCATTTATATTCTGAGCATCCTTATACCTTGCTGTCAGATAAATGTAAGATGTGTCCCTCGTATTATCTGCATTGGTACCCTCAATTATCAGCAACATGGGTTTCGCACCCCAGGTTCCACTGCCATCGAACATAAACCCCCGACACAGCTTTATAAGATTTTATCTATTTTTCCATATGAATGTATTTATAAAGCATGTTTAATTTATTTACTTCCTTTTCTTGTGCCTACAGCAGGTACGCCTATAACTATGGACAAAATGCACGCACAAGCAGACCACTTTGACTATCACAGAGAACAGCTTAGATCAAATAGTGATAACGATGTACCATTCTGAGGGATGCTGTTCACAATTACAATACTCAAGCAACACGTGCCTACTTTGTGAGTAAGTTATCATGAGATGAAGGAGACCAGAGGGATCAATGAATGAAGCTATACATAATCCATAGGCTTACAAATTCGAACGGCACAAAGTAGCGTGACTGGCGGATCGGGTACAACATTTACCTTGATATGGATTTTAACATCCTAATCGAAACATTCCTAAGCAGCCAAAAATGTATAAACGAATAGAAGGTAGAAAAACCTTATCCTTTTGATGGACACATTTTACTTGACCTCAAATGCCAGTTGAATGCTAGATCATCAAGGACAAAAAAGGATCTCTCACATTTGGTAAAGCATGGCGATTTCGCCGTTAGATTGGGAAATTCTACGTCAATTTCATAAGCGAACTTATTCCAATCTGAGCTTTCGCCTATGAAGCAACACTTTGAATAAGTGCCCGTATGTATATCCCTAAACAACGTTCATCGTCCTCTAGCAATGCCAATTTTTCCGTCAAACAAATGTGATGATTTCCCTAACTATGGCCCATCTAGGCTCTTTGCATCTATTGAAGAGCACACATTTCCAAGGCAAGTAATTTGACAGCACTGGCCATTTACGAAATGTAAATTCAAAACGAATGTAGAAGCCACAAAGCTATGGTTTTGGGGAGCTATGGGCATTTAGCATAATAATTCGAACTACATTTGCAGTATCCAACGATCACGCGCAAACTGGAGTTTCAGGAGTGAACAGAGGCTTTGTCTGGGAAAATGAGCCAATGAAAGCGCAGCAGTTTTTGAGTTTATATATATATATATATATATATATATATCATACACCTGACTGCCAGAGGGTGTTGGTTTATATCTCCTATGATGGGACACTATGACTGGCGAGACGCTAATAGTTCTTCGATTCAGAAATGTGGCCGGAGTTATCACACAATATATATCTGATTCCTAGTCTAAAACTGGTTCTAGCATCTATATTTTTTTCATTGTATTTCGGCGATTCTGAAAACCATGACTATGAAACATCATGCACCAGAGGCTGCGGGGCCCAAATGTTCACACTTTGCGACGTGTTGGAGAAACGGCACACGTACAAATGATCCACGAAATTGGTGTTCCTTGATTTAAGGTGTCTGTTTGAGTTTGTCAATTTGTCTGTACTACTAACCACACTTGCACAGCGGAGGATGTCACAGATGGTTGTGATTATAATCCGTTTACCTTATGCGAAGTTATCCATTGATGAACGTCTGAGCCGAAAGCTGGAAGGTGTGTGAAATCCCGGTGTACAAATCGCCATCGTTCAGAGCCTCAGGACATCTCAGGCGCAATTCGCGGTGTACAACCAACTGGTTTGTCTAAGGATAAGAACAACTTTGAACGGATGCGTCATACGTCAACATTATTGGTTCCCACCATTCCTGCGTGAGGGTTCTGACACGGTGGAACGCGGAGATCATCCTTCACGCGCAACGTCACACTAAAGAAATAAACCAGGACAGAATGGACCGTGATATTTCACAGCTCATCTTTGATTTTGAAGCTGGAAAAGGACGACTCTGTGAATCTTCGGTGGTGGGAAACGTTCCGCTGGTCTTGGGGATTCTGAAAGTGATATTCTGTCTTTAATCATTCCCCCACCAAATGCATCTGTCCGCAGGATGAATGTATCTAGCATATCGATCGGATAATCTGAGAGTTTGGGGGTTAGAATCGTCCGATGTTTACGTGAAAATCGTGACGGAATCCGACTTCCTCCGCCTGAAAATACAACGCCTGATGGAGCCTTTGTCCGCACAAAAGCCACCGATTGTGCCTGAGCCGGAATACAGTATTGCAAAACATGACAAAACGTGACAGAGTATGATACTACATGCTCTATTTAAAAGGAATTTTCCGAATTTACCGTGGGTTGATTTTGATAAGTTTCATGAGAGAAAAACGTAGGTAGGGAAACGGTTGCATGTTTGGTAGCTAAATGTACCGGAAAAACGTAAGCTTCAGACAAAAGTGAACGAGTCAGCAAATAGAGGGCTTCCAGAATGAATGCACTTTTACGTTCGCCTATACCACAAAAAGGAATTCATACCTTGAGCCTTAACTGAAGCAAGCTGATCACATGAAAATAAAGCTAGTAGGAAGTCCTTAGGGAATGTTAACTCAGGTTTGATATCAAGAAGTGCGTTCAGGACTCTACAGAGGCTTGCGGTCCGCGGCCAATGCTTAGACAGGTCAGCAACCCGGCTTGTTGGTGCCTGACGTGATCTGAATGTGCAAAGATTTCGGCATTACTATTTCATCCACAGTCGTTCTGTGCATAACAGATGACCTCTAGGAACCAGATACTCTACCTTTAGAGCTGTTTTTATTAATAATACATCGGTGTTAGAGGTAAACCGCTGATCGTTCGGATGTCTCACCGTTTTATAACCCAGTTTTCGTCGAAGAAAAGCATATCCACGAATGTCAGCATGCAGGATATAAACAAAACGTTTCCCCAACATGTAAGCAGAGTAAACGCTATTCATCTGCAGGACATGTGTGTTACCCGGTGCGGTTACGTTTCAACCTGCCAACACTTTGAAAGCTACATCTTTTCCCGACCCGGTGTTTATTTTGCTTCTACAAGTACTTGCACTCCAAAGGTAAGCATATAGCAAACTTTTCTTGCTTCCACACTGAACTCGCCTGACACTGATGGATAAACGACCGACGGACGCTCGATTACCAAAAACCTAGCGACTACGACAACGCGATCTTCCAGAATTGCCTCACCTACCGATTTGGAAAGTGGGCAGTCATCCGAAAACGCAAGGACCAAAGTCATCCCTCTCATTGGTATGGTTTTTACGCCACGAACCGCATGTTGCAGTTTAAAACATTCAGACGCAAAGTGAGCTAATTAACTATCAAGAAGAACATTCTAATTTACGGGGCATATATTGGGAGTTGAACGGAAATCGTCACTGCTTGACACAAAAATACATATTGGTCAGGTTGACTTTGCAAATTCAGGGCCTTTTCGTCCCAACAACACGTATGTCACCAATACGCAAAAGATATTACCCTCAATGCATAAGTGGGGGATGTAATGTTGGATGGTGGTTTGCATGGCCAGTGGAAACAACCGAACTCATGTCTTCAGGCTTTCGAACTCCGTTATCTAGCTCCGTTAACTAGCTCGTGTCTGCTGAGTCCAATGACTAGTGCGAGAATCCGACAGGTGGTCGACAAAATATTGCTGATTTTCATAAACGATTCAGAGTGGCGCAAAAACGTGCGACAGCAAATCTGACCTGATTCTTTTTGAAAGTGAATACTGTACATGTTTTGGTGCACATACACAATTGTGATTTACTGCAGCCACTCAACAATGGATATGACCTCTTGAATTTCCGGTTCAGCTTCACGTAAGGCGGCCCTCCGCGTGTTATCACTTAGTGCGACTTAAACCGTTGCGCCGCAACTACAAAAGCAAAAAGGTTGTTTAATTTGAAATTGAATATTTAAGTAACTGAAAATACCACGGCCATTGTGGTTTACCATATATCCAACAAGAACATATGTACTAAAATTTGCCTGCTAGGTAAGTATCCGGAAGTACGGTGTATCAAGCAGTATTGAGATATGGATTGGAGCAAGGAGAAAAACAAACGGAGTTTGTCGCTCATCGCAACAAAATATCCATTTTCTTTTCGATGCTTTTCTTCTCGATGCCAGACTAACAGGTTGTCATCAGAAATTGTACCATTTTAAAGATATATGTGTATTTGGCCACATCAAATCTGGAAAATATCTACTTTTGTGCTCATTATGAGCACACATGGCTCGGACGGTAAGTAATCACTGAAAATTTTGAGAGACTTGGAGTCAGAGCGACCACGACCCATAGTTGAAAGGAAGTTGCAAGAAAATTAGAATGGTTGTGCCGAATTCCAAATGATGAAATTCTGCGCTGGATGTACGCTCCAAAATTTGGCCTCCGATACTTGGAAAACTGAGGAACCAGAGCCATGACACAATAGACTCACATCATTATGACCGACCATGCACAAGATGCGGCTGAATGAGTGAGTGAAATTTAGCTAACGATGTTTGCCCGTGTGTTACCATTGGAAATCAATAAATGTTTTTTCCGCATGAGAATTAAAACCAGCAATACTTCATTCTTTAAACAAATAAGAGTTCCACTATCGTTATATCCACAGCGAGAACAACGAGTGAGTAACTGTCACTGTTTTGACGTTCATAAGTGCTGTCAGATCCCCGTAAGACAGACAAATTTGCAATGTCTGAGAAGCGAAGTGGCTGCCAATCACTGAGGTCTGTGGAAAGCCTGTGAACCGCAAGCTTTGGGCATACAATTTGAAAACCGTGTCACCTTTGAGAAGTGACCGACGTAAACAGGACAGGATCAGTTGATTAAAGAGGATTGTTGGGTAAAACTATTCATGGAGGAGCGCAAAAAAATTCAAAACAAAGGGGATGCGGAAGAAAAGTACTTCCCGTCCCGTTCCTCCAAAAGTTGTTATAATACGATGACCGGAAAAGTTATTTCATTCGGTATTTAAGCATAAGAGCAACAACGGATCAAATTATCATCAAGGAATAGAATTCCACAAGGCAGAAGTTAGGAATGGCCGAATATTTATTGCCTAAACATACGAAATAGGCCAAAATCATTACCCTCGGGGCTAATATTTCCGAGAATTACTTACGCTGCTGCATTCCCGATGATATTTTCAAATTTAAAATTAATTTCACAGCAGCCAGCAACGTATTTTGCTGATGACGCCTAACCCATTTGACGGCAATCGGTCGACCGGCGGTGTGATTATTTTGCGTTTGGATAGGATGGCTGGACTCCAATTATTCGATCAGAGAACTAACATTACATGACCCTGTGTGGACTGGACCTTCAAGTGACAAGTTTACAATTGCGATGCTCATCCAAACATAATTACCTCTGAAGCAAGAACGATTCTACATTGCCCGCGCCTTTCGTTCGAAACGAATCCCATCCGAACGCCAGACAACGTGGACTCACCTGATCTGAATTCCTGTTTTGAGGTGTGGGCGGCGCTATAGTTTCTCGCACTATGAAGCACGCGAATTCGTACCCATCCTATACTAATTCATTTTCTTGACGTTTCGTGAGATGCGCACTGCTGATGATTCCCAATAAGGATGAAACACCAATACAGTGCTTCTCGGCTTTTCAGCATAGATCATATTCACTTCCACTTCACAAAAATTCCAGATCTCTCCACATTACCGACAATGCATAATAGCTATTATACCTATTATATATATCAGCAGATTGACTTAAAGTTAGAGTGTCATATTGAATATTTCCACTACTAACACTACGGCTTCAGTGATATCTACAGCAACAACGACCATTGCTTTGACGACAGGTGAGCGGATAACATTGTTTTCTTAAACGCGATCTACGACTTTTATGATAACATTTCTGTCGAAAAAGCCCACGTATTTGTGCGAAGTCCAGGTGGATTGTCGAAAAACTAATTACTAGTCGACAGGTCCGATGTGCACCGGCCGGGTGAATCTAAGGCCCAGAACATTAAACTTGAAATGCATTTTAGTATTTTAAAGCGATTAGGGCCAAAGAGAAACCCGCACCCGATGGATGCGCAGTGACAAAGTTAGCGAATGCAAGCAAAAATGCTTCCGAGCCACTTATCCGGAGTGACGCGCCCCCATGCCAAAAGGATATTGCGCGCGAGGATCAAATGCAATCTTCATTATGTTTTTTATTAGAGACCCCGGATATTACAACGAAAATCGTTCATCACTACTAATGATGAGGATGGCATTTTACTCATACACAATTTGTGGCTTGCTCACATGTTCACGAACTACATACATTGTTACATTTCAGTCGACACATTCACTTTTCGCATTGATATCACAGCATTCAGCAAAGTAGCTGTGTTCTCAATATGATTCTTATTATTTCGCAATGAAATTTCCACGCGATGGTTTACGCAACAGAGTAAATTCCCTGAAGGTCACATGCGACCTGCGTTTTTTTGTTTCTTATATACGTGATCACGCATTACAACGTTAAGCACTCTTCTCTACAAGTGGTTGGATATCGAGGGTGTTTCGGGTACTATGTTTTGTTCCACGAGAGTCTGGATAAGAATGGTTGGACATACAGCGCGAACACCTTCGTTTCTGATTTCCCAGGCCTTGTCTGATTAGGGATGCTGGGCTCTGGAAACCGTTCAATATATTTGTGCAACTTCGCGAAGTCAAAAGTCATCCAGTACACATGACATTTGAGGGTGTAGACGACCTGAATGCCTACCATCCTATTCGATTTTTCGCTGATGTTACGTTTCCGGTGATATCTGCAGGAAGGACAGCCAATTATATTGACGGAATTGAGCGGATAACAATGTATTCATGGAAGTGTCATCTGCGTTTCACATTGCCATTTAGTTTAAACATCAATAATAAATGATGTTTTGTGGGAAACGAGTAGATTCGATAGAGACCAGATTGCTTGGGCCTGCCAGTCGGATAACATGAGAATGCAACACGCGCTTTGTCGTTTAGCCTCAACTTGTACACGAATATGTGTGATTGATGCTTGTGATGGTGTATGGTTGGCTTAGGAATGCACGTCAACAACGATGGCGTTAGATCTGGCGAAAGTGCTCGCTGACATACGTCGAACTGCCGCTTGAATACCTCGGCTCAATTTGATTTTAGCCGGCACTGGTTGATGAGCCTCACACTAAGGCACATCGAAACTTCAAACTGTCAAAAAACAACCCACTATCGGAAGTTAATATAGCGGTTACTCAAGCAAACACAGTTGTGAGGCG